TTATAAAATATTTAAAATATATATATAAGAAGCATTTTGTATAAAGAAAATTATTAGATTTAAAACTTTTATAGAAATTATAAATAATTAATTATGCTAATTAAAAAATTTATTTGAGTAAATAAATCAAATTCTTGATAACAAGTAAATATTTTAATAATATAATAATTCTAAATACTATGCTAAACTTATAACTATTTTATTAAATAATTAGTATTTTTAGTTATTATACTTGTTAAATCCTAATCTAATTGAAAACTTGTAATTAATTATGAAAAAAAATTAAGAAAAGAATTAACTTGATAATTTATGAAAAAAAATCTGTATTACAAAAGGTTTTTATTAAAATAATAAATATAAATTATATCATAAATTAATATAATATATCTTGAACTAGTTATAGATAATAAAAAATATAAAAAGAAATTAAAGTATAAATTTTAAATTAAATATAGTTAATTTTGAGATTTTTTAAATAAAAATTACATAAATTAAATAATATTATTTGATTATTATTTTTTTACTATTACTATATTAATATTTTTAAAAATATTTTTAAAATATTTTGTAAAATAATTAATAAAATATATAGCTAAGAAAATATTTATATAAATAATATATATACTATATATAATAAATTAAAAATATTTTAATCTCAAGTAAAAAAATAAAAATAATTAACTAATTAGTTACTTATTAAATTTTTTTTAATAAATTATACAAATTTAAGCTTTTGAAAATTATATAAAAAAATAAAGATAAAGTTTTATTTATTTATATTAAGATAATAAAGTAATATAATCATTAAATTTTTTTTATTTTTCTTATTATTATAAATTTTAGCTAATTAAAAATATTTAAATAATAGTAAAAGATAAGATAGTAAGATTAAATTTATATTCTAGTTTTTTAAATATTAGAAATAAACTTTTAGATACTTTTAAAGAAAAAATAATATTAAAATAATAGTAAAATTATAAAAAAAATACTTATAAGAATAAAAAATACAAAGAATTAGATAATAATATAATTTTATTAAATAATAAAATAGATAATAATAATAATAATAGTAATAATAATAAATTCTAATAAAATTTTATAATATAATAATTTAAATATCTATTAATTTTTTATTTTTTAAAAAAAAGAATTATATATAGAAAATTTTTTATTAGAATTATTATAAATATAAATATTTTCATATTGAATTATAATAATAAGAATAATAATTATTTAGAATATAAATAAAAAATTATATACTATTTTATAATAAATAAAAAATTAATTATTTTATAAAATTTTATTTTAAATAAATTAATCAAAAAATTTATTACTTTAAACTTATAATAATTTATAATAATAAAAAATATAAATTAAAAAATATTATTATTATTATTATTATTATTATTATTATTATTATTTAAAAAAAACTTAGAAATTATAATAATAATAATAATAATAATAATAATAATAAAATATTATTATTAATATTATAATTATTAATTTTATTATTATTATAGTACTATTACTATTATTTTTATCTTTATATTTATTTTTTATTTTATTATTAACTTAATTATTATTTTTATTTTTATCTTTAACTTTATTATAATTATTAATTATTTTTATATTTATTTTTTATTTTATTATTATTTTTATTATTATTTTTATTTTTATATTTTTTTAGCTTTATCTTTATATTTATTCTATTTTTAATTTCATACTTATTATTTTTTATTATTATTATTATTATTATTATAAGCTTATATAATAAATTTATTATATAATATATATTTTTCAATAAATAATAAAGTAATTTTCTTTTTTAATTTCTTGTTTTAAAGATATTAACTAATTTATTATATAATAAAGTTTTAATATTTTAAAATTTTTTTTGATCTTTTTAATTTTTATCTTTCTTAAATTGAATATATTATAATATATTATATAAGCTATATTGAAAATTAACTAAATTTTTATATAATTTTTTATATATTTTTTCTAAAAAAAAGAAATAAAATTGTGAATATATTATTTATTAATAAGATAAGATTTTTATTAAATTTTTAGTAATTTTAAAATAAATTCTTATATAATAAAAAATTTTTAAATAATTATATAATAAGTATTTAAAATAAGTTTTACTTTATTTTTACTAATTAAATTAATATATTATATAAAATAAAATTTATAAAATGGATTAATTATAGAAAATAATTTGTATTTATATACTTTATTTATTTCATAATATAAAATAACTAACTTTTTATTTTTAGATATATATTTTTTTAATATTTTTCATAATAATATATTAAAATTTAATTTAAATTTACTAAAAGTTTCATATAAAACTAACTTTACTAATAAAATATATTTATAATTTTATTCTTTTTTTAGAAACAATAGATAAAAACATATTTAATATCTTGATTAACTTGAATTGAAAGATTCAAAAAAAAATTACTTTCTTTCTTGTCTCTTATTTTATTATAATAATAATTTCTTTTTCTTTTCTTTATATTAATAATTATGATATAATAATTAATAAAAGCATATAAGAATTTGTATAATCATGAATATAAATTTTCATTTAAATATGTAAATATTAATTAATAATATTTATTTGCCTCAATTAGGAAATATATAAATAAGAAAAACATAAAAAATTTATTCTTATGCATAAATTGAGAGAATTTTAGAAATTCATAATTTGATGCTGAGCATTCAAGAGATTGGATATTTGGAAGGTTAGTATTTTAGATTTTGGAAATTCAGGATATTAATATTTAAGAACTTTTTATATCAGACAATATATAAAAATGGATGCTATCTAAAGATTAATATATCAGATAAATATTAATAAATTATTTTTTCAAAATAAAATTTTAATTCTGTCTTATTTAATTAAGTTATTAATATTGGAATTTATTTAAATTTTTATTATATATCTTTTATAAAAACCATTTTACTAATAATGACTTTTTTGAATTATTATTTTACTATATAAAATTTGATTAAAATAATATAAAAATTATATAATAAATAATTTAATTACTAAACTTTGAATTTTAATATCTTTATTCAATTTTTTATGAAATTTAGAATATATATTTATCAAATCTAAGACAACCTATTTGCATAATTTAAAGTTCTAATATTGCAAATTGATAGTGATAATATTTAAAATGTCTTTTTTTTTAAAAAATAATTCTATTTTGGTTTTTTTTAGTAAAGTAATGCTTCATTTATTATTAAATTAAAGTATTAAAATAATATAAAAAGTTGATTTTTTATTTAATATAAAAAAATTATAAAGAGGAAGCAATTATTAATTTTATATTGGTGTACCAATCTTTTTGCACCAGACCATAATAGATATTTTTTGTAATTTTATGTTTTATACACATTCCTTAAGTATCGAGCAACTATTAATAACTTTACATTCAAATAAACGCTTAATCTTACGGAAGGTGCAAAAATCCAATTGCGTAACTTTACACCAAACAACCATTTAATTTTAATAAGAGCTATTGATATCACATTCTAAAAATGCGATATTCAAAGACCATAATACAATTCTCATATCATTCCGAACAATGTCTATCAAACAGAAATCAAAAAGAAAGGAAAAGTTAATCATGCGATATCTTTCTGTCCCTCTGCATTGCATGCAAAAAATATTATTGTTTGCGTAGAATCTAACAAGCCAAGTTATCCCCAAATCCCGAACACCCAACATCCCGAAAGCTCAAAATCACGAATGCCCAAAATCACGACATTCCTTAAAAAAATAGAAATGTAAAGGTTTGTATGAAAGAGTAAAGGTAATGTAAGGCAAATACAAATTTCACCCACTACAATCGTTGCGATAGTGGTAATCATTATTTATTGCATGCAGCTATATTCATTTCGTATCAATGTTTGGGAATATCGGGATGTTTGGAGTTAGGATTTAGGGCATTCGAGATTTGGGTATTCGGGATTTTGAGCGTCGGGATATTAGGAGGTCGGGATTTGGGAATATCAAAATGTTGGGCTTTCGAGATACTGTGCGTCAGGATTTTGGGAATCTCGTGGTTTTGAGCAGTTATAATTGTCTCTAAATAAATTCAACTTCTTGGAAAAAGTTCGAATTTCATACATATAAATTATTTGTGAAATTAATGATCTACAAAAACAAAGTGTGTCCTTGAATACAAAAGGATCATCGTTTTGCTTATCTCTCAAATACATGTAAATAGAACATGTGATCATTATGCGGAAATTTTTTTTGAAATTTTCACCAGTTAATTCATGTGATTAAACTTTATTTACCATAAGTTTTTGCAGATAACGAGCTGACGCTCAAACACAAATCCTATATGCTTCTACCGGATTCGAAGACGCTGCTTTACACTGGTATCTCAACAGAGTTCGAATAGGAAATGTAACAAAACAGCCGGCTGAAAAAATAAGGAAATAAAAATGAGCCCATTTTTTGAAATTGAATAGTTAAACAATGGTATAAGACAAATAATCATTCATAGACTAAATATCGAGGGACTAATAAAAAAAATTACTTTGTATACAATTCCAAATGTAAGACATGTTTTGAATGATGACAGTGCGTTAGTCAGTTTTTGTCCCTTAAATTACAAAAAAGAATTTTAAAATAAAATATAAAAAGATAAACGAAAATCAAAAAGAAAGAATTAAAGACTTTGGCGCCAAATTCCTTGTCTCTCATTGCAACAATTTTGATGAGAAATTTCTATATTATTTCTCTGTTCTTGAAGACTGCAGGGAGTTACGAGAGAATTTGTTAATGAAAATTGTGGTACTGGATTATAAAAAACAGGAAATAATGAAATATTTGGAAGAGAGGGTAATATTTCTTCGATATTGTTTACGATTTTTGGTAAAGAATTATCTCGAAAATCATTTGATGGCAAAAACGAATCTATAAAAAATCACAAAAAGTTCTTTTATTAATAAATTCAAGAAAATTTAAATGGAATGTTTTACATACCCGTTAAACTCATATTATCTTTGAGCTCAAAAGGCATCGAATTCGAGTTCATTGGAGATACACGATTAAAATTTAATATTCCTCGAGAAGTCATATGACTACATTGCGGAGATTTTAATAACGGTAATCCCGGTTTGAAGCCATTTCGAACGGTCGGATAATCAGGATTTGACTTTGGGTATTCCCTGTCAATGCGACTGATGATTTCATTACGTGTATTCTTTGGTGGCCCTCTTTTCTTAGTTGGATTTATAAATACGCAATCTAAATTATTCTTTATACAGCGGTGGCAGCATGGCTTCCCACTGCATCGCGCTTTACGACTTCTGCAGTTTTGACAAGCAGTAGTGACATGTTTGCGAATTTTCGATGTCATTATCTATTAAAGGAACGCAGAAATATTTTTGTCATAAACGAGTTAACTTTAAAAATAAAAAAAAGTTAAACGACAGGAACGAATTAGAACATTCGTGAATAAATATAAAAACGACTATAATTGTTTTATTGTTCCACTTTGACACAACAAATACATGTATGTATTAAGTGTGACATAAATCTAAAATATTCTACATAAGGAAAGGAACTCTGATCAAATCATAGGGCACGAAAAATCCCTTATCGTTATTTTTATAAAAAAACTAATTATGCCATTATCAAATTGATGATGTATATTACATGTGTAGATTATGAAATAATATTCCCACAAGGTTTATTAATACGTAATAATTTTTAGTAATAATTTTTAACAATAATATTAATATAGATATTTAAACTAACTAAAAGACACCGTTGTCACCCGGTGGATTAGATTGGGGGATCTACCGAGTAATCCGTGAGACTGTACGATCACGGGTTGTTTCCCAGTTAGTTTTCCGTTAGTTGATTTCGATCAACACTCCGACCCCTTTATCGAGTTGATCGGGTTCTCCAAGTTATGGCGCTAATTCCTGCCTAAGAAGGCAATTCGTCGGTCGCGGTGTTGTAGTTTCGTTATTTATTGGTACACCTTCATATATTCGGGGATTTATTGGTGTACTTTATATCAGGCCATCTTCCCAACGATGCATCAATCTGAGGCTTTGCATCGCTGCATCCCGGTTGTATATACTAACTTCACTAACCCCGTACATTGCTAATTTCACTAATCACCGGGATCTACGCGATGACGTAGTCCAATTCCATGCTACGGTGTATCACCGTAAAAGATTATCTATTCAGATTGGTTCTATTTGACTTCTTATGCGCGGATTAATTCACGATTGGCTCAATTTCTTCAAAGACTCGTGCACGTAATAATTCACGATCGATCGACTCAAAAAACGAGAACAAATCAGTAGTTTGTGACACAATTTTAGTCATTATATGTACATGATCGATCGCATATGTATATCATATCTCAGATCGAGCTATCCCTTCGTTGGCTAAAATTTAATCTTTTACTGATTGGCTTAGAAGAATATTCCTTTTTTTGAACCCAGACTATCCCATTTTAAAAATGTTTTACTTGCGTATTTCTTAGAAGTTTTAACTTTTTTATGCAACCAAATTTTGTGAAACAAATCCCATGTATAGCATAAACATCTATTTTCTTTTCGCTTTGAATAGAATGAGGTGTACAAAAAGGGAATAGGATGGTGCTACGAAAACACGCTCAGAACCAAGGATATCAATAGCTTTCTAAGCTTCCACTATAGCAACTTCTAAATTAGTTTTCCAATGTTGCGTCCATTAACCAAACCTAGGGACAGAGAAACCTTTGCAGGCAGTCGCTTCAAAATTGGTTCCAACTTACCAGGAGCACGAATTAGATCAATTTGGATTGCATTTATGGGAGTATCGATAATAAGTCAAAGTTGGTACCAATGCGCTCGAAATATCTTGCAATCACAATTTTCAGTTGAGGAGACATCTTAGTAAGCACATTATAGGCAGAAGCATATTCGTTCTTGATGGTGGACGAACTAGGCATGGTTCATCAATTTGAATCCATGTAACTCCAGCACTGACCAATTTAGATAATAGTTCCTCGATTCAATAACTGAATTGGTTTAAATCCTTGAGGATCATCCTTTGTAGGCTTTCCATGCATCAGATAGGAGATCGGCCTAAAATGACAGGGTGAGTTTGAATACCTAAAGCTTTAGCCTCTTTGTATTCGTCGATAACTTTAGTTGAATTGAGGATGAATTGTTGGTTTGGTTCAAATTCAGGAACAATGTAATGGTCTGTAGTAAAATATTAGTCGACGGTCAATAAAAATAGAAGATACAAATAGCAAAAAAATTTGGACACAGAGAATTGGTGTCGAAGCATTTCTTCTTTTCGCAAGGAGCAACATCAACGCCTGGTTTTGAAGACTTCTACACATCGTGAATTAGTTTCAAGACCAGAGTTGTGGTCCTTGTAACGTGCAGGAATGGTCATAGAAGGAAAAATCATTGGAAGGAATGTGATCAAGACCAGCGTTCTTTAGAGAAGCCAATGTTCTTCACGAGGTTTCTACATTTAAATAGTATTTATTAGGGGAGTTAAAACGAGTCCGGAAGAATTAACGTATTGATACGAAGGTATGTAATAACTCGTGTGATTTCTTTACCATTGATCTCCCATACGAGGGAAAGTACAAGTAAAAATTTTGCGTGTGAACGATATTGCATCTTGCACGGATTTTTTCTTGGCAACGCCCATTTTGATAATCAATTTGTCTTCCCATACTACGCCCCAAAAATATTACATGTATTAATTTGGGGGCAAGTTTTGATTATCCAAATCCAAATTTAATGTATGTACAGTACATGTAGATCCGATTTCTTCCGGCATGTTTTTCTGCATGTGATCGACCCGTGATACTTTGTCATGCGCCGTAACTATAAAATACCCATAACGATAAAAAAATTATATAACACTAAATATAGTAGCAAATAGAACATTTTGTGCCAAATAAAACAAATATTGTCCAATTTTTACTATCAAATATGCCCATTTCCAACAATCGATATTATATTTTATTGTCAAGAAAGACTATATATGAAAAATTGATTGGGTTTCTGTTTTCACGCACGTGACTGCTTATAAATAAATAACCAATTAAAAAAACTTATCGCACCGGACTCATCGTTGACAACCGGAAATCACACGTGACAATCAAATTTTCACATATCGCAGAATATAGTCCTTCGCTTATGCTCCTGACAATAATTAACATAGATAACGAGTTAATCGTCCGATCAACCAAATAATATGCTCTTTAACAAAATTTACATTATTCTGACCATCCAGTCTATTGTTTCGAACATTATGTACATTATATGGTCTTTAGTACACTGTTCTGACCGTTCGACATAACGGTTTGTCCACCTTACAAAATAGAATAGTAATTAGTCTAGTTTTTAGAGTAGTTTTCGCTCATTTGTTCTAAAAAGTATTTACCAAACATGTATTTAAAAAATTAATGTAAATAGGCCCTTCCTTGAGTCTCAATCAAAGGACAAGTGAACAATAAAATAAAAGTTCAAAGCAATTGAAAGAAGAATTACCTCTTATTTTTGGCACTTCTGGTTTTGTCGCTTTTACTGGAAGAAAGCTGTGTTTCTTTGTTATTCGCTTTCATTACTTCCTTCGTAGGATAATCTCGCCATGAAAAGAACTTTTGGATAGCAACATAATCCAAGAAAGCTAGTCGAACTAATAATAAACAAACTTCTCCTTCGTTAGCAGAATAAACTCCTTTAAGTCCTCTTTAATTAAACGCCCATACTATCCAAATACATACACCTTCAACGTCAACAGTTACTGGCGCAAGTCGTTTAGATTCATAACAAAAGAGATCCGATTGCTCTCCAGAAGATCCAACAAAACCCTATCAGAACGCCTGCACTATTCCACTTTGAAACCAAATGATCGGATATGCGTAACATTATGATTGTTCAGTTCATAAATACATAAGCACATGAAATATAACATGAGATACGAATACCGTATCCTTCCGATTTTTGAACCTAATTTTGATGGAATTTGGGGTACTTAAATTAGAAAGATTTTAATTAATAAGTTATAATAAAGGTGATTGAGAAGGTTTTTGATTTAGTATATCATTCAGAATTTATTGTTTTAGCATGAATGTGATATTTATCAAATAAGTGCACAACGTTAATTGATAAAAATTAAGAGTGACTGATCAGATGATCCGCAAATTCAATGTGTAATTTTTTCATAGTATGTGTTTTGAAATTTTATCATGAACTACTTATGTTTCTTGCGAAATACAAGTGTGTTATGGATATTTTAACATTTATTAAAATTTTTTATAATTTATAATTTTAAAATTATTCAGAAAACTTAAAAAAATTAATATAATTAAATTTGATTATTATTTTGTAATTAATCTTAAGTAAACTTGTTTACTAGATTATCAAAAAATTTTATATAATTGTATAATTTAAACAAATATTCATTGAATAACAAAAAAAAGATTAAAAAAGCATTTTAAATTTTTTATAATCATTTTTTTCAATAAAAAATTTTAATAAAAAAATTTTAATTATGAAAAATTTTATTAAGATAAGCTATTAAATGCTTTTAAATAAATTTGTTCTCTAGATTATCAAGCATTTATGTTTAAAATTTTATATAATTTAAATAAATATTATTAAATATAATAAAAAATAAAATATCCAGTTTTTTTGTAATCCACTATATTATTATTTTAAAACTTTAGTAACAATAAAAAAGAAATTTAGAATCTGTCAATAGTTCACAATATATCATTATACCTTTTTATAATTATATTAATATTTTTTAAGATAAAATATATTATAAAGAAATTTTATTAAAATTATAATTATAAAAGTTTTATATATTTAAAAATTTAAAAATATGACTATTTAGAAATTTTTATTATAATATACTTTTAGAAAGAAGAGATATAAACTATTTATTAATAATTATTCAAAATATAATATTAATATTAATTAATAAAATTCTTCAAATAAGTTATTGTTATTAATCTTATATATTTATACTATATAGAATAATTAAATAAAAGTTCTAATTATTTTTTAAACTAGTAATATTTAATTTTATTTAGTATATTCTCTCAATTCTTATTAACTTATTTTTCTCTGAAATAATCTGAATTTCACTAAGAGAAAATTATAAGATATAATTAACAAAAAGAAAAAAATAATAAATAAGAATTATTATTAGAATTAACAAATCAATTTAATAATATATCTCATTAAGTATTTCTTAAATTATGAATTTGATTCTATTATTTTAACAAATATAAAAAAGTCTAACTAAGAAATTTATGAAATAGTTCTTATAATAAGTTCAAAGCTATTATTATAAAATATCATAAAAATCACCTAGAAATATAGCATAAAAAAGAAGAATTATTTATATTAGAAATCTTTTATAAAAAGATTAATAAAAGATATATATAAATATAAAGAAAAAATTATATGAAACATATATTAAATTTTAATTTCTATTTATTTTTATCAAATTATTATATTTTATAATAAAACTAATTTTAATATTAGTATCTATATAAAACTAAAGAAAATAAGTATATTCTAAATAATTTATATTAATTTAATAAGTTAAAGTAATTATAATTCTTTTTTATATATATATAAATAAATATATATAATAAATAAATTATTATTATTATTTTATATTATGAATTTATTATTTTTATCTAATTTTTATTTATAATACTTTTATTAAATAAATAAAAAGTATTATTAAATTCAAATAATAAAACTTTTATATATAATATTACTTAAAATAAAATATATTATAAATTTAATAAAATAAATCTATTTTTATATTATTATTTTTTCTTTAAAAATATATATTATATAAATCAATAAATATTATAATATATAAGATATATTAAATTTTACTTTCAAAGCTTAATCAAAAAATAATTATTATATTATTTTAGAAATAGATATTATTTACAAATAAATATTATTTTTTATTTAGATCAAAATATAAGAAAATTATAAATAAGTATTACTATAAATAAGTATAAATTTAGATTAATTAAAAATAAGTATTATATATTAAAATTTAGATATATTTTATTTATCTTGAAATTATAAAATAATTAATTATGAAAGATTATCTAATACTATAAATATCATGAATATTTATATAAATAATAATTTTAATTTTTTCAGTAGTAGTATAGAAGAAATAGTTAGTTTTAGATATTATTTTAAGTTGATTATTTGATAAAAAGTTAATATTATCAAAATAATATAAATTTTTTTAATTTCATAATTTTAGAAAATTAAGGTTTTTGACTAATCAATTATTTTTTTAGAAAGCATATGATTTAGAATAATTTAATTAATATATTAATTAATTTCAGTTATATTTTAGTTATAATTTAATTTTACTTTAATAATATTTTAGAATTATAAATATATAAATAGCTTAAATTTAGAAATAACTCAGCTATATTTCAGAAATAATTTAGAAATAAATTTTTTTATTTTTCTTTATTTATTATTAATTATCTTTTTTTTATAGAATATTTATCTTATTTTATCTTTTATGCTTTATATTATTTCTTATTTAATATATATATCTTATTTTTTAATTTTATTTATTAGTTTATAGTTTATTACTTAATTCTCAGTTCATACTTATAAATATATTTTATAGTTATAAATAAAATATAAATAAAGCTAAAATAAAATTTATATAACTTTAAATATATATAAATATCTTTATTTTTAAATATAAAATAAATATACTTAAATAGTAATAATTTCTTTATACTTAAAATACTTGAATTATATTTATTTTATAATTATTTTTATTTTTTTTATTTTAGTAATTTACTTTTATTTATTTCTTTTATTAAAATAGATTATATTTAATAATACATATTTTTCTTGTTTAAAAAATATAAATAGTAAATATTCTCTATTTTAAATAAGTTAAGTATATTTTATTTTGATATATAGATTTTTACAAGCTTTTCTATATATAAAAGCTTTATTTTATTTTGATATATATTTTTTATTTATCTAATAATTGAAATAATAATATTAAAAAGTTTAATTAACATACTGAATTTATAATTTATAATTTTTATTAATTTAGTTATAAATATTTTTTTCTTTTATTATATTTTCATGATTATAATTTTCTTTATTTATTTTTATTCTTGTCTTGTATTAATATAATATTTATAAGTATTGATACTAAAAAATCTTTAAAATAATTGTAATCTCTTTTATCTTTATAAATAATTTAGTCTTTACTCTTAAAACTTATTATAAATTATATTCATAATAAACCTATCTTCCAGAATATAGTTTGTAATATTATTTTTCTAGATATATTTTTACTATACATATGCTAGGTAAATTCTATAAATAATGTAAGAAATAGTTTCTCTAAGTCTGAAAAAAAATTTTGATAGATTCTGAATAATTATTTTGCTATCTCTATTATTTTTTCTTCTTTCTTTCAACTTTATATTTCTTATATAAAATTGAGTTTAAGACTGATAACTTATTATAATCATAATAATATTAGAAGTAATTACTTTGCTAATAGTTAATATTGATTAAATCTTTATATATATTAAAGTATTTGTATTAATAGCAGATAATATTATACTTGTAAATTAAAAAAAATATAAAAGGAAAGAAAATAGTTGGTTTTAATATTTAAATAAATTTTTCTTTCACAAAAAACACATTATGAAGTCTAACTTTATAGAAATAAATAAAGAGATAGAGAGAGTATGAATATAAAAATCTATAAATGATAAAAATAAGATTTGAAGATTTAATTTTGCAAGAGTAAATAAAAAAGAGTCTTCAGAGTTTTTAATTCTGAAAAGATAATAAATAAAGAATTTCTGGAGTTTAAATTCTAGAAAAGTTATAAATAAAACATTTTCAGAATATTAATTCTAAAGATAATAAATAAAGAGTCTCTGGAATTTTTAATCTATAGAAATGATAAATGAAAGCAAAAATAAAGGAATTTTTTTCTATAGAGATGATAAACAAAAATAAAATAGAGATCTCTAGGAGTTTTATTTCATAGAAAAGACATTAAAAATATATTATGACAAATTGATAAGTGAATTTTCACTTGAATTTATTTTAATAATATAGAGTTGAAAGAGACTGAATTAATTAAAGAATAAAGAGAAAGAAATTAGATTATACTTTTAATAATGACAAAAATTTCTAAGATCTGTGTTAATATTTATAGATATTATCTTTTAAAAAGAAAATAATAAAAGAAAAAAATAATATAAATTAAAAGAATTATAAAGATTAATAAGTAAAGCTATTATTAATTAATAAAACTAAAGATTTATAATGATTAATAAGTAAAATTACTATTAATTAAAGAAAACTATAATTAAAAATATAATAACTTATATAAATGAAAATAAAAATCAAAATAATCAATTAAAAAGTATAATAATTAATATATATAAAAATATAAATCAAAAGTATAACTTATTTTAAGTAGAGATCTTCTATAAGATATACTAATATAATTTAAAAAGAATTAATTATTAAATTTATGTTTTTCAAGTCTGAATTTATTTTATCTGAAAGAACAGACTCTTTTATATATTTTTAATTATATAAATTATATAGTATTACTAATTAATACTATTTAAATATACATGTTATTATTATAAAGAACTAATAATAAAAAGATAAATATTTAAAAATATTGAAAATATTAATGTTAAAAGATATTTGATTATTTCATAATTATATTAACTAATTAATCTATATATATAAAATATTAATATCAATATGATATATTTGTAATTAAAAAAGTAAATCTCAAATTTAGAATATAATAAATATGATATTTAGAGAATAATTATAGATTTAGAAAATAAATATAAATAATAATAATGAGATAATTAGATAAAAATAATTTAAATTATGTGATAAATAAAGTAAAAGAAAAAGGAAGTTTATATAACTAAAGAAAGAATATTAAATTAAAAAAATTTATGTTACTACAGTGATACTAATATTATATATTAAAATTTGAAACAAAATCATGTGATTATTGAGTATAGACTTCTGATATCATATTTAAAGAAATTTCTTGAATATCTATATCATAAAATTTATTAATATTAGTAATTTTTAAATTTTAATTTATTATATTTAACAAAATATATTTATAAGAGATAAGAAAAAATTATATATACTTGTTATTATACTTTAAATAGTATTATACTTAATAAGAATATTATTTATTAAAGAGTTAGTATATACTTATCTCTCTATTATTCCAATTCACTTGAATTGGATATTTCTTTAAATTAAATCTATAAAATTTTGATTTTTTTATCTTAGTATTTTTTCTTGCATTTATAAAAACTTAGATAGTTATCATATAAAAGATCTGTCAGATACATAAATATATAAAAATATGATAATCAATATATTCAAATTTGTAAGTAGAAGAAATAATAAATAAATAAGTTCTGAAAAAAATAAAATGGAAGACTATTTCAATAGAGACAAATAAATGAGTCATTATAATATAGTGATATAAATTATATAATAATTTAACTAATAATATATAGTAGTATATAATAAGAGAAATTAACTTTATTATACATTTTACTTTTATCATATATTAATACTGTGCTATATGAATCTAAAAATTATTCACTTCTATTTAATTAGAAATTAGTTCAATAGAATTATAAAAATAATTAACCATTGTGATAAAGTTTTTATTAAATAAAATAAAGATTATTATTATTCTTAAATAATCATTCAAAATATTATTGTTCTGTTCCTACACTCTCTATTAATTAATAAAGTAGTCTATCCTGAGACTACGAACGCTAAATGATGAAACTACGACACCGCGACCGACGAATTGCCTTCTTAGGCAGGAGCTAGCGCCATAACTCAGAGAACCCGATCAACTCGTATTTGATTTTTATCCATGTCAAATTTTATAACTAAAAGTTTGCATTTTATAAAATCAATCAATTGTGGAGAATTGACAGCACTCATGTTGTTTCTTAAAATCACTTAATGATAATACATAACCATTTAGTTAAGTATTCGAAAGTGTATTTTAAGAACATTGAAATTTGATCAAAGATTTTTATCTTTCCTATAAAGATCCAATGAACGGTAAGCATATTAAATGAAATTAGGATCTTTCTTGTTATTTTACAATAATCTTTTCTATTATTATATTATAATATCAAATCAGACTCGCATCTAGAAATTCAACCAAGGAGAAATTTCAACAATGGACATATGATGTTAACAGCTGCACAATAAATTCTGCTCTTCCGTATTATGTCGTTACTGTAAAAGTACATGTTCGATTTCTAATTTTTTCTCTAATTCTTATTTTTGCTAAAATAGCAAATTGTCCAAAACGATAACCGTGCACTTGGCTGTAAACATCTCGATACACCAGTGACGGAAACTCAAAGATTTACTTTTGTCCCATGTACCTGGCCTGGATAAAACCATCAACGTGCGCTTGATGCGGGTGTGAAACTGCACGATGCATATGTTCATTTACATACAAGTTTCTATTTTCAACAGTATAATATATTTTTTTAGAATGATTTATCTGAAAAAATATTTACAGTATAATAAAAAATAAAGATAATTATGCAACATTGACTATCACATTTGATGCATAACACATAAAGTGTTAGCAATCTTTATCTAGCATGATCCAAATTATCATTATACTTTTTAACATATCATAATACTAGAAAAGCTACAGTAAATTAATTAATACTTTGTTTCGCATATGTTTTCGATTGTTATAGGTTTAAGCAAATATTATTATTTTTTCCTTTATTAATGAGTTATATTACGAATAAGAGCAAATTAGGAAAAAGAAAATACATCAAATGCATTTTTATTTAGCAAATGGTCAATAGTATACTGTTAAAATTCAATAAAGCTAGTTTTTTCTAATATGAGATCATAAATAATTTTGCGATAGGCATAATTTAAGTGTAAAGTTCATTCCCCAAAGGTGATCATTTGCGAAGATTAAACTGATTTTTAACCCAATGAAAAAGATCATTTTAAATTAAATTCAACCGCAAAATTGTCTTTCCGGTTCATTATGCGTATTATACACACAGTTAGCTTGGAATTAGATGCGTAGTCTCCGATGGTGCCGATATCCTTCAACATGACGAGAATAGAAATTTATAAAGAAATAGGGAGAATTATGATTTTCACGAGTTTCTTAACGTTAAGGAATTTAATTCTATTTAATTAAGTAAGGACAATGCTCTTTCTAGCTAAAGGCCTTAAACTTTAATTGATATATGCAATTTTGATTACTGGATATTGGATATTGTACACAATATCGAATATACCAAAATTTTGATATAAATAACTACGTGTATATACGATACATTATTGCCGTTACATGTAGCAATGAAAAAAATAATGTTAATACATGTAGTTTTGATGCTTATAATTGCAGAAAAAATTCTTAATGTTTAAAATCGCTAGGGATTACAATGTGAGTTAGATGCCATATTGTGTATCTACGATTTTTGAACCATGACGGAAAAATTTCAAGCTGATTCAAATCATTAATTTTTATTTACTATATATTTCTAAGAAACGCCGAAGCACTGAATAAACGAAGTTGTACCATTATTATAGGAATTTACTTTAATTTTGTGATGCGTAAGCTTATATTATGCTTAACTTTAAGCATCTTTATCTATGGTAAAAAAAAAGATTTTATTGCAATATATAATTGCATGATAGACTTTACTACACGTATAAAGTTTTGACTGTTAAATTTAAGAAAGCGGCGTCATTGATTGTTCCCTGATGGGCATGTTTCAAACACTGATAAGGGTCCCTGTACCTGGTTCTGTGAGTTGGTAAACTGTATTGGCTGAGGGAAAGTTTGATTATCTTTGCCACTACCAATTGGATTTCCTGTGCAATCGACACCAGAGAAAAAGGTGTAAGTGGTACCAGGAGTAGAGACATTAACTGCTTTTACAGGGTTATCGCCGCCAAACCATAACATCCGCCTCCTACGTTGCCAGTTTGACTGTTATAATTAGTACCAAAGATAACTAAAGAAATGAAAATAACATTAATATGGAAGAAGTTTATGAATAAAAAACTTAATTGAATGTACAGAAACTTACAAAGTTGGCACGGTTGAGGCACTTGAGCATAAATTACGGAAGACAAGCCGACAGTCAGAGATAAAATAATTGATTGGAACTTCATCTTTGCTTCGTAATTAGGCTTTGGATCCTTTAGGTTGTGAATTGCTTGTGAGGGTGTGAGAGCTCTTTTATATAGAAATTGACTAGTCTCATTATCTTCCAAAGATTTGCTTCGGGCAAACCTATTACTATCGCTATTAGTTCCCGTTATTGAAATGATGCAGTAATACCTTCCATGAAGATTGTTTGGCTGAAAAATCATAATTTTACATGTATATGATAATTTCTTAAACAAGAATTCGTTTGATTAAAAAAATCATCATAAAGATAGATTACATGTATATGATAATTTCTTAAAACAAGAATTTGTTTGATTAAAAAATCATCATAAAAGATTAACGTTAGATTACATGTACGTAATGTGCATGTACATGTACATGTACACCACATTTCAATCATTTAACCTTTATTTGTTACATTAAATTATCATACAGTTGTAATTTTTCAACCAATCATCATTTAGGTAATAACTCCCACTCATACAACTGTTGGCTTAGGATATTAATTACCAAATACATGTACATGTACGTGTACAGTCGCTACAATTAAATTTCTTTCTTTGTTAGAGAGTATAAAAAGTAATGTTCTAATCTGTCCATGAATGGTGCCCGATTTTTTTAAGTGAAATTTTAAGTAACTTGTATATACCCGATCCGATTCATTTTACTTCTGTTTTATGTATATAAAAATTTTTGTACATGTGCTAGTAACTATTACATTATTGGGACTTCCCCAACTTCCCGACAGCCTACAATCCAACATCCCAACAATTCAATATCCCAACAATTAACTTCCCAATAAATCTAAATTATCCCCAATTTCTGACTTTTATGAGGATCGACCACTAGCATTTACATGTATCAACACTTAACATCAACAATAGAATAACGGATCTTTCATATAAAATGTAAAATGATGTGCTTGTCGGGAAGTTGGCTTTGTCGGGATGTTGGGCGGTACCCGCTCTTTATATGGCTTTGATAACTTTGATTTCTCATGGCATTAAATCTATAATCTCCTCAAAAGCGAACAATCAATTTTGATCATGTTCCCTTCAGAATAATCTTGGGTTTTTTCACGATTCTTACTCTTCTGAATATTGCTCTCAAATGAATTTCAGACATTTCTATGAAGTTAGGGTCGGGAGAACGTGTAGATTTTCTCCTTTTGAACCTATTTCATGACTTCTTTCCAAGGTGGATCAGAGTGTTATTTTCTGAAACACCACGTTTTCATCAATGAACATATTATATAATGAAAAGTGATGAAATGCCTCAGAGAATATTCATGTAAATTATGCACAGCTTTTTTTGAAATGCTCAGGTGTCTTGTTTGGTTTTCTTGTAAGTGTGCATTTTGTTTTTGTTTGTTATAACTTATGGTCTCCCAATATGATAAATTTTTGTTTTTTTTTTTACTTGCCAAGAGATCATTATATTATTTTTACGCACGCAATTGGATTACTTTTTGTGATGACTGTATATTACCGGTACTCCCATTAAAAAGATAAATATTTTTTCACGACAATATAGCCTGTGACAAAACTTCCTATTAGATTAAAATGAGGATTAGGGTTATGATTCAAGATAAAAGTTTGGATCATTTATTTTCTTATTAAATAGGGAATTTGAGCCATAGCATTATTAATTAAACTCAAAAATTATATCGAACTAATATTTAATCAGTCTTCCATTTGATTCCAACACAAATTAATACATGAAATAATCTCTTAAGACAGGCATATAAAATTTCTCAAATGCGAACTTAAATTCGACCACTCTTCAGAAAACCCGTATTTTTTTTTAGATATTGTCCTTCAACAAGCTTCCAAAAATTCAATGGAATTCAGTCTGGCGAATTCATCGACCAGTTGATAATTGTAATTTTATTTCCGTTAGCTACGCCTTAATATGGATCAGCGAATATATTTAATTTTATAACAGTAAATAACAGTAATAATATACGTTTTGTTTTAAAAGCACAAAATTTAAATATTAATGCTACATTGCATAGCTCAAAATTGACAATCAAATGATTCGATTTATGTTGAACCCTTATTTTTAAAAATCAAAATTTATAACTCTTTTAAAATTAAAGAAAATAAAAAATCCATCTTACAAAATTTACAAAATATAGATTTACTAAAAAGATCAAGTTGTTTCTAAATTGTAAAATTGTATATAATTTCTTCATAAATACACGTCTTCATTATTAAATTTTTTTTTCTTCTTAATTAAATATACTGTTTATTCTTTTTTAATTGTATTTATTCTTTATTTATCGTATTTTATATAAATTCAATTAAATCTGATATAGAATTTAAATATCTTTAATATTATTTTAATTAATTCAGAAGTTTTATAATTATATTATTAATAATAAAATATTATAAGCATGAAAAGTATATAGTTTTAATATAATAATTTTGAATCGTTATTTGTATAATATTATTCATATTTTAATAATATAATTAATAACATTTTAAATTTAATTTATTTTAAATAATTTATTTAATATTATATTATTATAGATATTTTTTTTAAATAAGTTTATTAAATTAATATAAAACTATTTAATAAAGAAAGAAAAATAGATAAAATTAAGAATTTCTAAGAAAATGTAATATTTATTATTATTATTATAATAAAGAAAAAATCTAAAACATTATTAAATAGATTCCTAAAAATAAAAAGCTTAAATAAACAATAAAAAATATATATAAAATAGAGAAGAGAAAAAAAATAAATAATAAACTTAAAATTAAAAAAAATAATTATAGTAATAGCCAAAAATAACATATTGGGATAAATTTATTAATAAATATAGTAAAGTTAAAATTTTCTCTCTATATTAAAATTTATAATTTTACTAAGAAATAATTTTTATTTTTATATCAAAATAAAGTTAATAAGTTATAATTTAACTTATATTTATTTCAGATTTTTTCTGAAGAATTTTTCTAATTGCAAAATTTTTTCTAATTAAAAATGAAATTTATTAGAAAAAAATTTTGCAACACTTTGCAATTAAAATAATTCTTATAAATATCCGAAATAAATGTATGTCAAATTATAAAAATTTACTTTATTTTAATATAAAAATAAAAATTATTTTTCAATAAATTATAAACTTTAATATAAAAAATAAATTTTAATTTTTATTATATTTTATTAATAAATTTGATCTTCTAATGTATTATCTTTTGTTATTAATATAGTAATAATAAGTTAATAAAATAATATTATATATTTTATAAATAAACCACTTATTTTAAAATAAATTAAAAGAGCAATAGTATTTATTTATAATTAAAAACTTATTAAAAAATAAAAATACAGATATTATTTATTTATATAAATGAGAAATTCATTTTTTCTTAATATAAAACTTGATTTAAAATAAAAATAAAAGAATATATGAGCTATTTATTTAAAATATATTAATTTATTTTTTAATTATTAGAGAAAATATAAATTTAAATAAAAATTTTATTCTTATTTATATAATTATTGAAAAAATTTAAAAAATAAAAAATATGTATAAGTTAATATGAATCCAACTATTATCTCTAATTAACAAGTAATTCTTACAAACAAATAATAAAAATGTAATGAGTTTAAATCTAATTATTATTATTTTTCTATTTTATTGTAATATAAAAACGTTATGAACAATAATAATAAATTATTAAATATAATTATTTAAATTATAAGCAATTAAATTATTATTTCACTTACTATAACAAATGCAATGCATCAATATTCTTCACAGGTCATAAATTAAATTTGAGAATTGTTTTATGATTTCTTCAATTATTCAACTTCAAAATTTCGTATTTTATAATTAACCTGTATTTTTATGGAATTTACATGATTACTGATGCCTTCGATGTAATTATTTAATATAAAAAATAAATTAAAAGTTTGTTATAAGTTCGATAATATTGCTAGTCAAGGGAAAAATTGGTGAATCTTATAAACTCGAAAAAAATAGTAACGTAGCAAAGTGAATATTATCGTTATATTTTTTTCTTAAAAGAATTTAAATTGAATATATTTCATCCATACTTTCCAATTTGAATTTTAAATTTACTATATTATTTAATTTAGTAAAAAGATCATATCATAAAAGAATTCAATAGTCTACTCAGCCTAATATTGTAAAAAATCAAAATTTATTAGAGAGGTTTAATAAGAGAATAATTTTTAGTATTTACCTCTCTTGATGCTGACGAGTTATCTCCATTTGTAATATCATTGAAATAGATATCCAGGAAAATCTCACCATTGATATCAAGAAATGAAGGATATTTATCACGTTTCATGACTATATATCGATAACCTGGAGTCTTAGTTACTTCAGCAATATTTTTAACAATGAATTTTTTTACTTCGTCTTTAAGCTCAGGCCAGAGAAAGACATGCGTAAAAAGTATTTCAGCTGCATTTTCAAAGCTCAAAGAGGCAATAATGTATTCCTTAGTATGTGCTCTAAGTTCATCGATTAGGAATTTATCCGCTATTTTATATAGATCAATAGCATTTTTGTAAGAATCTGATGGTTGGTCCTTCTTATAAATAATTTCACCAGTATAAAGATATTTTAGCATTTGCAAGAAAAGCTCCGGGTCTGTTTCTTGAATTTCGACTTCATAATCGAATACTCTTTCGATATCAACTTCGCTATCAACCATTTTTTCACCGTCCGAGTCTTGATTCTGTTCTTGATCCTTAGTTACGTTAAGATTGACATCGTCTTTGATACCATCTGTGCTTGATGTTAATTCTTTCATAGCATTTTCCAGTTCATCATGCATTTGTCTCTTCTTTTTCGCCCAACATTCATTAAATAATGCCTTGAAATAATTTGATTGCGTCGTTAGGATTCTGCTGCTAGCAAAATATTTCCGGCCACCAAGAATAATCTTCACATCCGAAGTATTTGGGTTGTTTAAATCATTCATCCAAGCTTCTATTAATGTGCGATTTTTACCAAAATTTATCGGCACATTTATCGGTTTCTCATCGATCATATTCACGTTAATAAATTCGACGCCGATCAAAAATCTTTCTGAAAGTTCAGTTATGTCATTTAAGATAGTGGCTGTGAAAGGAATATCGATACGGTTACATACGATTGAAATGTTTATGAATTAAGAATATGATTTGAATAATGAACTTACACTGATATTTTTTTATATAACCGAATTCGCAATTAAGCACTTTGCTTAAAGTCGGATTACCATTTGAATTTTTTATAAATAGTTTCGCTTTGATACCCTTTCTTTTTGGCCAAATTAGGTTCACATTTTGAGATTCACATTCATCCGGAATTGCTTGAAGCAGAAGCCCACAACGCACTGTTTTGTTATCGATAGCCTTAAGCAAAATTTGACCGCTTATTTTGTAACGATAAAGAACATGATCAAGAATTAATACGGTATACATTAAATTTAATGAAATACCTCCGCCATGACAAATTGCAGCTGCCAAAACGTACCACCAGGAGCTACCAATAGTGGACTGTAAATTGTTTTGGAAATCACCGAATTTTTATTTATTGTAAACTGGTATAAGGATTTTAAAAAATCTTTTTCTGCCATTTGAAGTGAAAAAATAATAATCAACAATTAACGTATTAGATGAAATTTTAGTCCCACTGATTGTAACAATAAGAATATCCATCTAGTTTTGGTGCACTAATAAAATATGTCACAATGATAACGATAAATTTTTAATATTATATGAAAGAGATATTCGTAACTTGATATCAGCTTAACAAAACAAATATTAAAAATTATAAATTTATACTTATTCAACTTAAATGTTATATCTATTTTTGTTAACAAGCACTCTGGAAAACAAACGTTATGGCTTTAATGTGAATAATTAAAAATCATTTAGTTCTTGACTTGTCAGATCAAAGCGTGACCGACCTCCTATATCCGAAGGTTGAGATATTGCCTTTTAGTAAAAGCTTCGTAATAAAGTTTTATAATTAGAATTTTGCCCAAATCAAATGAATCTGTTAGGATCATATATTTTAGCAAAGACTACTAGTTTCATTTTATAAATTCAGAATAAAATTAGTATATCAAATTAACATTTAAACAAAATTCAGAAGACAATTGGACAGCCGTCCATAGAGATCAAGCAGATTACCCTATCTGCATGATCTCTATTGACGGCGGTTCAATTGTTTTATATACATGTATATAGAATTTTATCAATTTTAAACATAAGGGAGAAAGCTAAGAGGATAGAAAATAATATACATGTACATAAATTTTTTATCAGAAAAATAAATCCGACGCTAATGTAGAACCGTGTAAACGTTACTTCCGCGACAGCCCGCGTATTTTGTTTGATACGTACTACGTGTATCAAGTCTCATTTGACAATAGATTTTTCTCACAGCCAATAAGGTTACTATGGTTACATAAATTTTTTATCAGAAAAATAAATCCGACGACGCTAATGTTGAACCGTGTGAACGTTACTTCCGCGTATTTTGTTTGATACGTACTACGTGTATCAAGTCTTATTTGACAATAGATTTTCTCGATCATCATGTTACATGTACTTGTAATTTTTTTCATAACAATATTGGCAAACCAATCAGAAATGTTGCGGATACATTTTTACATATAACCTGGGGACCTGCATGTAATTATAATATTTTAAGAATTAACCGTTGAGTCTCATTTGGCAATGAAATTATTATCTTTATGTATAAAAAATCACATTATTGAATTAACTGTGTAAAATTTTGTTTCTGTAACGGCCCGCATACTTCGTTTAGTCTTATCAGGTTTCTCATTTGACAATGAAGTTATTATCGATATGCATAAAAATAATAAATTAATGAGAACACTAAAATATATTACTATTAAGTCTCTTTCTTTCAGACTGTTGAAGAATCCTAATACATGAAAAACATATAAATAAAGACAGAATTTGTAGCTCATCCAATTTTATATTTATTAATATATATCATTTCTAAATTATTGTATTCAACATGCAAGTCGGGGCAAAACATCAGATTTTCTTCTCAAGTAATCCCCATCTCGCAAGTAATAACCTTTATCTCAAAGCAAGACTGCTCTCAGATCCAGATTCAGAAGTAACTGTGGAGGAAGAGATGGAGCTAACTGTAAATTAAAGAATTATCTAATTTTATTGTAAGTTTGATTTGTCCAATTTTCATAATTAAAATGTTATATTCTATAAATAGAAAAAGAAAGCAATATTATGGAAGTATGATGAGAGTGGTCGTATAATTTCTGAATATAAAAAGAATAAAGCATTAGCGGTAAAAGATTGTAAGTATTCGAAAGTGTATTTTAAATTTTATCAATAATAACTATGATATTTATTTATCTTTTTAATTTTTAATTTTAATTTTATTTCATTATTGTGTTACCTTGTGTAAGTGTCAGAAATAGTACTGGAACCTGTTGAAGTGGCTCCAAGTTGGTTCTATAATGCAAATACCTTAGTATTTTCATGTCTAGGGTATAATGGTGCATTGACTGTAAAGGTAAATATTTAATATTTAATCTTCTTTCTGAATATCCTCTTCTTTATTAATTGATTAATTATTATTTCTACTGAACATAGAAAGGTGAAGATGATCAATATTATCTTAGATTGGAACCTTACGATAATAATAATGAAACCCAGAGGTTTAGAGTGAGAGTAGTCCATTCAGCTAATATATAGATAGTACAAATTAAAATTTTAACATCACGTTAATTGTGTTTTAATTATCAATTTTTAAGTTAGTCTTCTCTGTCAGATAAGAATGTCATCATTACTCATTAATGTTATCCAAATAAGAATGTCATAATTTTTCGGTTTAGAGATGGGCATATCGATGCTGAATGATAGCATGCATGCATGATATGCCCATAAAGTTTATCAAACTCAAAAATCTATGCATGTACATGTATTAATAAATGATGCAAAGAAGTTTTTGTACCGCTATCACATAACATATTTATAGTTTTGGAATGGTTATGTATGATGTTGTAACTGATGAACGACCATTTGGTGATCGAAGTCAGGATATGGGTCTTGTATTAGTCAGTTGCAATAGAATACGACCTACGACACCGAATAATATTTCCGGATGGTGCAAATTTATTATTGAAAAATGTTGGGATCCTATTCTAGAAAACAGAACAACTGCTGAGGAACTTTTTAAATTTATTAGATCTATTGTTACCAAAGTAACTATAAATCCCGTAATTCCTTAATTTCTCCTTAATGTGGGAATAAACATTTTCACGATACATGTACATGTACTATGCGCAGCGCATATCGGAAAATTAAAAATCAAGACGGCAAATTAATTAACAACAAAAAAATTTGGTAAATGAAAACGAGAACTGAAATTCGTCACTTATTAGCAAAGTTAAATTAATTATTCCAACCTCTACGTATTGTTCATCATAATAAACTTGTGCGATTAAATGTAGACAAAAGTCTGGAATCGGAAATGATTGTATATCTGATCCCAAACTTTTATGTACATAAATCTTGTAATTCCTTAATTTCTTCCTAATGTGGAAATCACGACTGTATTTGGAGCAGTCAACATTTTCACGATGTACTGTCATTACCAAAAACGAGTTCTAACGTTTTCATTGACAAAATACATAATTATTCGACACTTCAACAATCAAAATTTAACAATAGTCGCAATGATAACTCTCACGATAAATAAGACAAATTATGTTTCACGCTTTATAGAATCTCTTATCATAATCAATATCCAACACCAAATGACAATCGCAATGATTCCCTCTGCGATCAGCATCATTGAAATACAATTCACTTTATGGCTACAGTCAACAATTAAGCACCTGATGTCGTTATCATAATAACATAACGATTTGCGAGTCCATAATTCCTCCGTAGTTACCTAACATCGATATTCCCATAGTTCCTGGACTAATGTCCGTGAGTTTAATTATATTCCATATCTATTTTTTTTTGTTACATTTTCAATGTTTAAAATAATTCTTAAGAAACATATAGTACATTCATTTACTTATGAGAAAGTTCTGGCGTAAATATAAAGATATAGTATTTAATATGTTCGTATATATATATAAAGGCCTTTAGAGAATATATGCTCTGATCAAAAATAATAAAAGAACTTCATATTCGTAATTATTCTGTTACTAGTGAATACACTTTTACCTTCAAAGCTTGCGTACAAGTGACTTTTATTTCTTTTGTGCCTAACATAAATCGATGGTGGAAGAACTCCACTCAAAACTCAGTATTTCTTGTTAATTGGCATTGGATAAATCTGCCTCATGTGATCTGCTTAGTGCCTCGTAGAATTTGCTGTGTACCTAATTCTTCGCATTGATTAGCTCATTGACCGTGTCAATAAGTCCAATTCTTGTTGGCAGTGAGCAGAGACTACTCGTATTACTTTGGAATCTTGTGAACAATTCTGAACCCAACTTCCCTTTTATTTTAAGTCTTCTTCTATAATTGCCTAATAGTTTTCGTAAAAACTATCGCAGGAGACCTTTAGAACAATTAGAGAATCCCTCTCCTTGTAAATCATTCAATCTAGCTTCCCTACTATTGTGTTACGTCTTACTCTCAAAGATTGAGTATCTTTTGAATAGACTGTAACAATACATGTATTGTATATAAACGTTGTTTGGTAGAATAGTATCGCATATGTGCCAATGTAGTTAACATAAGTAACCAATTCCCATATGAAACATGTAATTTCTGAACTTTCTCTACATGAAAATAATACAAACAATGTTTCTCAATACCTTGGAATAGTATCGTCTTACAATTGTTGTAACTTTTTTCACATCGCAAATGTTACTTTGAAACGTAATATCTTGATGTTCTGTGTACAATTTCGTAACATCTATATAAAGACAATCGAACGATTATATTTCGTATAAATCGGATCACTGAATGTCAAGAATGAAACAATTGATTTGCTGATGTGATTATGGAAAGGATTTTCAAATAAATAAAATTGGTTTCTTCATATCGAGGCCAATAAAAACTATACTAAACATTAGAGTTGGCTAGTTTAAATAAAAGATCTTTTTAATCATGCACTTTTTGTCCCTACTGAAATCACGTCACTTCATAATCACTATTTTTTTCTGATCCCTGCTGAAGGTGTGATTATATAGATGTCAACTATATTTTGATTCGATAAAAATTTAAATTGTGAATGTTACATCGGTGAAGGTTTTAAACTGAAATTTTAACTTTTTATTTATGAACAATAATTCCATTGTAAGTTTTCAAACAAACTGAAAAAGTATAATAAACTTTCTAAAATATTTAAATTCTGAACAATTTCTTAAGGCTCATTAGCTCTTACGAGCAATTTTAAAGATATTTGACGTATTTCTGTTCATGCGTGTAAATTAGCATATTCTAAAAGAATTCTCATCAACTTCTTTCACATTTATTTCTGTTTTTGTTAATTTCTTAAAGACGGGTTATACAGAAGTCATCTTTATAAAGCTAAAGCTAATGCATATTATAAGCACATGTGCTGTGTGCCCATATCTATAAGTATTTATAGTAAAAAAAAATGACAAATGAACAACAGCATGAAGTTTCTTTAGATGAAATTCTAAAGCATTCATTAAATTTCTGATATATGAAAATTCAAATATTTTTGGAACTTAGTATATTATTTTTGGAATATAGCATATACATATATCTTCAAGCTCATTTTATGAATGTCAGATTAAATATAAATAATATTTTGTTATCACTTTTTTATATGTGATTAGATTATTTAAAAACAATAACAAGAATATTAGGCAAGTTCAAATTATTAATATGATAATTTATTGGAAAATACAATTCTTTTTCTTAGAAACTGGAATTACAAATTAAATTATCATGATTTAATAGTTATTTAAAATCATAAAAAACATAGATTATTAATAACTTTTAATTAAATATTTTATTAAATAAAAAATTAATATAATATTATTTTTAAATACAGATTTACATTATTATCTCATAAAATCTATTAAATTTTTTAGAATTAGTTAGGAATTTTTGTTTAACTCTTCAATTTTCTTTATATTATTTTAATTTGCCAAGATTTTTTGGCATATATTTTTTATTATAATATAATAGCTTATTAAAATTATGTATATTAATTTTTTTAAATAATTTTTGTAATTGACTTTGCAAGTGGATTTTTTGAATATAAAATGCAAATTTTACTAAGATCTTTATTCTATGATTTTAAGTAAACTTGTTTTGGATATTAAAAAATATATATAAATAATTATATTATTTAAATACTTATTTAATTCATTATACTCAAAAAACTAATTGTCATTTATTTTTATATATCACTATGTATACTTTAAAATCTAAACTTTTATTTAAAAATTATTTTAAAAATTCATTTATTTTTATATATCGCTATATATACTTAAAAATCTAAACTTTTATTTAAAAATTATTTTAAAAATTCATTCAATAGCTTTATAAAGCTTAAATAATTTCTAAATATAAAGTTTTTAATTTTTAAAAATATTTAATTTTTAATCAAAGTAATTATTAAATATAAATAAATACAAAAAAGTTTTAACAATTTAAAATAGAAAAATAAATAATTATTCTAAAAATTACTGTATACATAATCAATTTTATAAACTTAATAATACATATACTGTATATGCATTATTAAATCAATAGAAAATATTTCTTACTAATTTCAACAAATAAATCAACCAGTTTGTTTTTCAAGTAAGCTATCTAAATACATATATATGTATATTTATTATTTATTTTGTCTGATACATACAGCTTGACTAATTTTTGATTCCAGTTTTTTTGCTACACTATCAAGAATTAATTTAACGATATGGATATCTGTAAGAGTATGCTTTTTGGACGCTTAATCAAAAAATCGCAAGTTGATTTTTTAAATCTGCTAACTTTAAAGAATAATAAAGACGTCAGAATTAATATTATATGTACCTAATTAATATGCAATATAAGCTTTCATCATATGAGTATTGCTTTTTAGGGCTGAGTGGTAACACTTTTTTTATGTGTTCAAGTAAAAAGCATATTCTGTTGAAATTAATTTTTGAAAAAATTATTTTTAGAACACCTACTGCATGTACAAACATAATTAAACCAAAAAAAATGAAAATTGCATATTTGAAACCTGCTTCAAAGAATTAATGATAAACTTTTTGAACATACGCAATTCTGGTAAAAACTTAGATAATACCGCTAAAAATTTAAGATAAATGTTGGAGAAACAAAAGAATTCTCAAAAAATAATGAATGGTATATAAAATTTTTAAAGACAACTGTCAATTCACATTACTTTTGAAAACTTATCAAGGCAAAATAACACAGCAACACCATGTATGCTTGGATTTTGCTACGAAAGTGCAATTGAAACACAAAAAGATGACGAAAAATCATTTGTATGGTATTTAAAATCAACAGAAAATGGAAATATTGCCGGACAATACAAATGTTATCATTATGTTATTGGAACAAGAAAAATTATTTTATGTGGTATTTGAAATCCACAGAAAATGGAATGCGGCTGAACAATATAACCTCGTTAGCTGTTATTAATACGTCGTTGGAACAGAAAAAATTAAGATAAAGTATTTAAATGGCTTTTGAAATCAACAGAGAATAAATCTTGCAATATGAATGAACCTTCTCTTAGTTTATTATACGATATAGAATATGAAACATTTAAAGATGTAAATGAAACATTTATGTATTTCCAAAAGGCATCAAAAGCTGGTAGAATTACAGCCTATAAATGTTATTTTTATGGAACCGGAACATTGAAAAATGAATACAAGGGATTTGAACTATATTTGAAATCTGTTGAATTGGTTAATAATCAAGGTCAATTTAAGGTAGCTGAATGCTATCAATATGAATTCGGAATTAAAAAAATTTCAGATATGGCCTTAAAATGGTACAAAAAATCTTGGGAAAATAGTATGATATAGCAGGTAAAATGACAGAAACGTTGATCTTGAGTGTCAGTATTCTGTTTTATACTAAAGGTTTCCTTTAAATATTTTATTCTTTTGTTTAATATTAAATACCTCTAAAGAAAATTATTATAGATTTTAATATATTACAATCTTTATCTAATTCTAAATATACAACTTTATATTATCATCCTTTTAAATCGCTAATTTTATCGAAAGCTTAACTATACATGTACAGAGGCCTAATAAAATATTATAGACATTCAATTTTATATAATTGCTTGAAAACTAATGAAAATCATATTTATCGGTTTAAGCTTATATATTAAAGTTTTAAATCATGCTATTTTGTATAAATGTAATTGTAAAGATTAATAAAAATTTAATGAATTTAAATAAAAATTAAATTAATGGTTATTAAAAATTTTCATATTAATTTTAATTTAAAAATAATCAATTCATATATATATATAAATTTAATAAAAAGTTTTGTTAAATAAAATAACGGATTTTTGTTGATATTAATTTTTTTAAAGTAAACATTCATGAATTCATATTTTTTGAAGTTTTTAAATCTTGTTTATTTTCAAATTAGAATATTGAAATTTTGCTTCATAAAAATGACTCAAATTGGAAACACAGTTTTTTTAAAATGTTCAGAAATTGAATATATAAATTTTGTTTATTAAATAAATTTTGTTTATTAACTTTTCTTCATGAATATCCTTTTTTCATTTATTAACTTTTCCTTTTTTCATTTTAATCGAATTCAACCACTATCGCTATACAAAGAAATTGGAACTTAAATGTTTATATAATCGTTATGATGTTAATCATATGAAAAAAATACGATATATTTTGTTTTACTAGAATAGTTAAACTTGTTAATTACGCATTTTTTAACTTTATTGAAGGTGAGATATTATTTTAGTAACAATTCAAATATCCCAATTTGGCTCAAGAAATTACTATTCTTAATTCGCATTTAATGATAGTCTCAGGAAATTTTGAATTATCATTATTGGCTAAAAAAAAAGTTTGCAATTGAAGATATTTTGCGCTTATATATTTTTTGAAAGATGCGCATACATGTATTAAATTATGTTGCAGCATTTTTTTAAACCGATTTTAATACTGCGGGCATCCTTCAGAATTCAGAGGTAAAAATGGAGTTCTTAAAATGGCTTCTGACTTCATAGCACGATACACCGCGTAAACTTATGATTTCTAAATTTCTAAAAGATCAAGTTGTATTAAACAGTATTCAGTTGTTTTTTTAGTACATGTGGTATAACATGGCAAGTTAAATTGGAAAAAAGACATAATTTTAAACTTATAAAGTGAGTCTAGAAACGCTATTATTTCTAAAACAGACACTAGACATTTTAACCGTTGCCACCGCAACGGCCCCGAGTATTTTAAACTTTTCGGCACTCAAAAAATTTATATTTTCTTGAAAAAGAAAAAAAACTATGATCTGTTCAAGTTAATAAAGTCTTTAAATTTAAATTGTTCAACTACATGTATATCTTTGTATTTAGTTAAAATAATAATCACATGATAGTCAATAAAAAGATAAATTTTTAATTTAATATGCTCCTACAACATGAAGTGAAGAATTAATAAATGGTTTTTCCGGATTTAACGAAGACGTAACATCAGGCTTAAGATCCCAAGCTTGATTGGCTGGTGATCCAGCATCACCAACAAGACGAATATACATAACATCGTAAATGGTGCTATTACTAGTGGTCGGTACTTCAACCACCTCAGCAGTCATCCGTCGATCAGGGTGTCTAATTGGCGAGAATGAATAGTCGATTTGGTTTCTCCATACTTGAAGATAATTAACTGACCAAACGAATGACATTTCTTTTTTATCCAGTGGCGCGGGAAACACCTCGCCAGTGTCTAAATTGTATTTCAACGCAAGATTTGTGTTGGTATTTATTATCCAAAATCCGCCTGTTTGGTCTGGTGTTGATGCTGGTAAGAGTGACCAAAGTTGTTCACCTTCGTTGTATAATTTTGTGATGGTTAATTTACCCCATATGATTGATAAAAAATAGGGTGGATCATTTGTGAGGTTGCTCTTTTTTGATGCTTTTTGAATTCGAAATATTGGATTAGACATTCTTGAATGGTTATAACAGTATTGAAAGTTATTTTTCCGTTTCAAGTCTTTTCTTCACTTTATATAATTTTTTGACCTGCCCATCGCTATAATTATTCAAGTGCAGATCGCTTGTAATTTTGTAAAAATGTCACGGGAAAATCTGTCGGTCAAATACGAGTCTAACTGCAAGATAAAACTATGATGCTTCTGATAAACTATGATGTCTGTTGATAAACATTATGTTATATTTGAATTTACTACGTAATTTTTTAACGTAATGAATACTCTAGAAGTTTCTCATAATTCGTTAGTTTTGAAACCAAAGAGCTTTGGTTGCTAACTTGTTTCAGAATAATCGTGCATCGTAAAATTTAATCCAATAAAAAATATTGGGTTAATGATATTAATGGAAACATAAATATTAAAATATACCATTATCTCAAATTGTAATAAATATAAACTCGTTTGTTATGTGCGCTTTTTTAAATTATGATGTGTGTGGCTTGTTCAAAAAATATTATTTCTAATTTATAATAAAAATTGCCTAAAATTTCAACAACATTATGCTAGTCAATTTGAAGCGCCAAAAGAAACGTCTTAATATATTTTCCCTATCGGACTTGGACACATAGAACAAGATTCGAAATATCCTCATCATAAGGTTCTACTTTAACTCAGCCAGATGCATACCGATTGTAAATGTCTGTAAAAGCAAAGATATACAAATATGAAAAAATCGACTTTCTATATATTATGGAATTATTTCTGATACTCTATTACTAATTTTATCTAACAACTCACAAAGGTTATCATTCCGTACAAGTGTCAACTCAAATTTTGTAAGAAATCTCATAATCAATTGTCAGAAATTTCTTTTGAATCACATAGCAACAGCGGTTGTCATGAGACACGGACACGGACATTCCGCGTCCAAATCTGACATTTTTTATGTTGATGTCTGTGTCTATTAATCTTAATGCCGGCAAATCACTTGTAAATTCTGGCTAAATGTCTTTAGTGTTGGCCAAAGTTGTGATCAATTTGTCCGTACCTTGTGGACACAGACGTAGACTCGTCCGCCAAGATTTGTCGGATGACATCTGAGTACAATATTGCATAGCAGTGAAACTTGATATAACGGATAGAGTTGGGCAATTAGAGAAAACAGTTATATTGAGACTTTACTAGTATCGAGTAGTATTTATTATTTTATTCTGAATTCGATCTGTGATGTTTAAATAACGTCTTTTATTAACGAATATCCATTAGTTTCGCTGTGTGCCGGAAAAGTTCATTCAAACTCAGCATAAAATTCATGCTCACGTGTCATGCGATGTAGGGCGCGCCTTCAAAAAACTACGTACGGCATAAAATGACACGTGATCCCATACGATGCGTGAATTTTTTATTATCCACAGACAAAACTCAAAAAAAAGTATTAGAAAACAGATATCAAAATTTATCTAGGTGCAACTAATCAAAATACAATTTTGCGTATATAATAATAATCTTAGTTAATCCCTAACAAAACAATCATTAATCATAATGATTTCCGGGTGTTTATTTGCATATACAAAACATGAATAAAAAAATTTAGGTGTAGTATATGTAAAGATAAGTATAAAAGCACAGGTCATATAAATTTATTTTTGTTTGAGGTTTGATACACATGTGACCCGAATTTTTTCGATCAAGGTTAGAGTTAGGATTAGGATAGCAAGAGGAACATTGTGCTCCAATACAAATGTTTTAAATTATATGGACGGATTTGCGTGATGAGAATTAATTTTTCATTTCATTAATAGATGTTGAACTTCGAAGCAACAAATTATTAAAATAGTAAGTGCTTTGGATTTTGATTCGCAATAAAAATTGGTCACTATCAATTAATGTGATTATTAATGAGCGTTTTGAAAAAAATGTTTGGAGATGCAAAATTTGTAAAAAAAAAAATTAACTAGGTTTCTAAGAATAGTGCAGTAACTACATTTACTGTTGATGATATAGGCAAGCTTATAATGTAATTGGTTTATTTATACTTCAATAAAAAGATTTTATAATAATTTTTATAACAATAAGATTCACGATTACAGCGAGCAAAGTTTCTCAAAGTCACAGTAGATTATCGATTGAGATTTCGTATGGTTTTGGTGATAACACAGTTAGATTAGTCTAGAAGAAAAATTTGAACAGAAAAACAACAAAACATAGGCTTTCTTCTGGTAAAAACGAAGTTACCAATACAAGCAAGAGGTACTTCTTCTAATTACTTTCAACTTTATTCTTTATTAAGGCTCAAGAGCATGCCTGTATACACATTAATTTGGGTACATGTTTTATTGAAATAAATATTACATGTACTGTATAATACTATTAATTACGCAGGATCAAATTATATGCATGTATTTAAAAATTTTATTTAACATGATTACCAAAGTAACAATAAATTCCGCGGTAATCTTTCCCTAACATTGAAAATTGTGACTATATTCGGGATGGTTGACATATTACATGTGCATGTAATTAACAAAATAATTATTTAATGATTTGAGAATGCCGTAACAGTTAAAATTTAACAATATCCATCGCAATGATTAATATTCCATGTTTCGTAATAATATCCTTCGCAGTAAGTTAATATTTGACACCACGTAGTCATAATTCTTGTAACAATACGCTTTATGATCGTTGTTATCGAAATAATTAAACAATCCACTTTGTACCTGACACTTCATAATAATGTGTAAAGCATTTGATAATAATGTTCCCAGAATATTGCTGTCTCACTCGCTAATTTTATTTTTATTTCTTTTTTATTTGTTTATTTCTATTACATTTAACAGTTTGTTATTGCCTTTAGAAACCCAAACTAAAGAAATCGAAAAAAAGTCTCTAAAAATAGCTTTGATAATATATCGAAACTCCTGTAGAAAACTTATATGCTTATAAAGGCGAGTTCTTGGTCTTTCGATAAATGAGGAAACTACAAAATAAAAATAAATATATTTAACTTTGAACAATCACTTTTGCTTGCAAAATATTCTTTTTATTGTTACTCACCCAATCTTGCGTACAAATGGCTTTTATTTCTTTTGTGTCTAACATAAATTAATAATGGAAGAACCTCACTCTAAATAAGCCATAATTATTTTTAATAGTCTTGTTTGTTGGCATTGAATAAGTCCAACAGTTTGAGTTCGCTTTGTGCCTTGTGCAATTTGCCTAATTCTTTGGTTGATTAGTTTGTAGGCCGTGTCAATAAGTCCAACTCTTTACTTTTTATGTTTGTAGCGAGCAGAAATTATCGTATTCCTTTGGAATTCCGTGAACTGTCCCAAATACCCTTTTAAATCCTTTATTTTAAGCTCTCTTCTATCATCTAAGTAATATTTTCGTAAAAACTATCACAGGACAACTAGAGAACCCCTCTTTTTTTAAATTATTCAGTCCAAGCTTCCCCACCATAGTGTTTCTTTAGAAAATAGCGTAACACCACCAATCAAATTAGATATGCCTACCTATTTATAGCTATATTCATCAGAACACGATTGACTTTTATTATAGCGATAAGGGTGTGCTTAAATCTATCAAAACTTTGTTTAACTAATGTAAATTGCATCTTAATGGATTTATTGTTTATATTTGTCGGAGACTTCATCCCCTATCATGATCATACAGTTTGTAGATTCCCATAAAGAACATATTAACGTTCATATAAGTCTTATTAAGAGACAATTTACATTAGTCGAACCAAAATATAAAGTATATTTAATTGATGAATACATGTATACGTAGTTATATTTTACATGTGTTGTATATTTTCCACACGAGGGTTATATTCTGACAATAAATTAAACGCTTAATAGTCTTTACATTATACTCTTATGAAAGGATATAATATTTTATTTAATATAAAGATAAAGTCTAATTATAAAGTACATGCAACAATGTAGTTAATATGAGGTGATAAACAAAAAAAGCATACACGAAATAGAAAATTAAAATTTTTTATAATATTAAAGTAAAAAACAGCAACAAATTACTTTTAATGAACATAATATTGTTCTAAAGCTCTTTAATAGACACTATTTGCTTTAATTTTTCATCGATTAGTTGGTTTTCTCATTATTTTCAATTTCGTACGGTATACTAATATCGAAATCTGTTTTTATCAAAGAAATTAATAAAGAAATTGATAAAAAGAATATCAAACGTATAATTTACCTTCATTTGGAACAAATAAACGAATACTTGTAGAACCTAAATATATTTAAAATCAATCTAAACTTTCATTTTGTTTGAATGTAACAATAAATATGCGTACCTCCTGTATCAGTTAGAACTGAAATTGATTTTGAAGTAAAGATTCGACTGGTATAAACTGCATTTGGGTGAATTCGTTTTTTTTTGTCTATAATGGTAGAAATGCATTTCTGTTCTATTTCATCAAATCCTTTCCATTTCTGCTGTTCTAATTTAAGAAGTTCTTTAATTTCTTCATCTGTTTTAGGATATTCTAAAGAACTGTAGTATTGAGAATGCAAAGAATTCAGTTTCAAATCGACAGATTTGTTGCTTGATTTGGAGATAGAGTGGATAAAGTTGTAAAGTTCCTCAGCAGTTGGTCTATTTGTTGGGATAGGATCCCAACATTTTTCAATAATAAATTTGTATAATCCGGGGATAGTATTTGGAATTATAGGTCGTATTCCTTTATAGATGTCATATACAAGATAATAATCATGACTTCGCTCACCAAATGGTCGTTCATTTGTTATAATTTCGTACGCAACCATACCAAAGCTGTAAATATCTGCTGCGGTAGTATATGGCTTTCAATTTAGCACCTCTGGACTCATATACGGAAGTACTCCACATATTTCTTGGTTAGATTTTTCTATTTCTGCTTGAATGCTAAGTCCAAAATCAGCAATTTGAGGAATATTCCAATTATTTAACAACCAGCTCGTGTTTGATATTAATATATTTCCAAGATGAAAGTCACGATGTACGAACTT